ACGATTTGCCAATCTTATTTGTCAGTATTAAAAAGTTAAATCTGTCATTTTTGCAGCACAAATTTTGCTTGGAAGGATGAAAATAACTACATTTTCATCAGTTATTTTATCAGTCATTAAGTCAGATAGGGTACAGATAGAAGCACAGTAAGATTACTAATAGTGAAGTTTTAATTAGTTAAAAATAAATATATATTTTTTCCACAACATTTTTGTTTCCAAGCAAATTTATTGATAAATCACAGGACAGAGTTGACAATAAGTTTTTGTTTCTGTGTGATCTGTACGTTCTCCGATCTGTACGCTGCCCCTCTCCTCACTCTGCTCTCATTGCATTCCGATCTTATTACTCTGCTTTGGGGTGGCAAGGTGCCAAGCTCATTTTTAGGGTGGCAGTTATCACCCCATGCCACCCTTGTGGACACACCCCTGAATGCTTGCAATGGATTTAACCCTCATAATGCTGTCAAAATCTGCATACAATTTTATGCTAATTACTGTTTTTGTTTAATCTGTATACTAAATCAGAAGATGCATGAGAAGCAAAAAAAAAAAAGAAAAAGATTCCAATTAAAATCTTTAAAGAACCCAGAAACCAAATCACTGATCTGAAGAACATTAAGAGCCATACAACCACTAAATAAATAAATAAATAAATGCATACATACTTACATGCAAACATACATAAAAAAGGTTTATTTGCAAATCCTCTGACTTTCCTCTCACTTCAGCTCCTCCCGGCTTTCTTAAGGATAGTGCTTATATTGATTCCCTTCCTAATCCATATCTCACAAGTAATGATTAACTCATGCTGCTTTGAAGAGAAAATAACTCATAAAGCCTCAGTCAGGGCAGTTTGCTTTTCAATCCTACATGCAGATCTTGTCAGACAAACAAACACTTCAGGTCCATGATGTTAACTTTTTCTGAAATGCTTTGCTCTAGGGCAAAGTGGTTTTGGCTTATTGCTCAGTCCTTGTCCAAACTTGCACCCTTTCTTGATCTAACCTTTAACCACTAGACCACGCCACCCACAATTACACTCTTAAAAATAAAGGTGCTTCACGATGCCATAGAAGAACCTTTTTGTCTAAATGGTTCCATAAAGAACCTTTAACATCTGAAGAACCTTTCTGTTTCACAAAAGGTTCTTTGTGGCGAAAGAAGGTTCTTCAGATTACAAAAAGGTAAGAAAGAGATGGTTCTTTAAAGAACCTTTGACTGAATGGTTCTTTGGGGAACCAAAAATGGTTCTTCTATGGCATCGCTTGAAGAACCTTTTGAAACACCTTTATTTTTAAGAGTGTACCCATACTTATTGACTAGTAACATTTAAAACTTAAAACATGAACATTATAAAGTGCTACTCAACATGCCAACTTGACAAGTAAGAATCTCTGGTATACAACATACTGTAAAATACATTTTTGCCAAGTTCATAATTGCAATTCAAGCATGCAGTGGATTTTTACATGCTTAAGGTCATACTATGTCCCTGGACCAAATTTACCACAAAATTATTGTTATATTATTATTATTATTGTATTTTTGTATTGCATGGATCACACTGACCCCAGGGTTAATAATTGCAATAAATTAATCCTCCTACCATTTGTCTATATATATATATATATATATATATATATATATATAAATAAAAAAATCTTTGAGGGTAGATAAA